TCTGAACCACCTTTGTCTTATTGCTTTCAAAAGGGTAAATCACCCAGTTTTCACGCACCCATCCTGGTTACCACCGTTGGTCGGACGCACGCACGGAAGGCACACGGGTAAACTCTGGAAGATTAGGGGATTTTAACGTCCCGTGAATGTGTGACACAGTAACCCCCTGGTACCCCACCACGCATCCCCGTGGGCTTCACCCGGGGTGCTGTGAACCAGGCTACTGTGTAACACACTCAAGCGAAGTTTAAATCCATCTCGTCAGATGCATAATGGTCTAATCTGCTCTGTAGAAACGGACTAGTCTGCGTAAAAATGTACCTACTATGAATACGCCCAATCTTTCCATCCCACTCCTCGCCATTACATTTTCGGCTTAGGTAATAACGGTCACTTTAAATTCTTACCAGTGCAACATGGATGCATGCATCATCTAGTTTCCAGCGCAATAATAATTCTGAATAGAATACATGTGGACTCGTTTAGTGCACGTTTCTCAGAAAGACTTGAATACCTCCCTATCTCAGCTACGCCAACATTGTGGCGCCGCTGCCGGGGCGCGACGTCGCGTGCATGGTACGCGAGCTGTCGCGCAATGCGTTCCATCGGCGTTTTCCTAGGCATTGCGGCGTCTTTTTTCGTGAGTTACTTGAGTTGTTTTCCGAAGGAATGTTTTTTCACTTTCTCAGAGTGTGTTCCATTTGCAGTAGTTATTCTTTCAAGTCATTGCATTTGCTTAGAGCTCAATGAGTGGTACTTTCTTTGCATTTTAACTTCTTTAAAAGGTGCAGTATATAGTGCTCAAAAATCCTGTCAACCTTCTCATTTCAAATAGATATTGGTAGTATATTATTGGTATTTCGATTTATTTGATTGAGTGTTTCGCTACTTATACTTGTTATTGCATTTGCCGGGATTGATATTAACTAATTTTCCCGACAGTTTGTTGAAATTCAAAAAATAGGTTTTGCCGCAGTTATCGAAGGCGAAACTATTGTTGTTTGCATTTGGCATCTTATTTCATTTTAAGCTTTGGCGGAATCAGGGCAAATTCCAGGATAGATGGAAAATTGCTGAACTGTAAACATTTTCGCAAATCAATTGCTGAGCAAATTTGAATTTGCCTGGTGTTACTTGTTCAAGTCTGATATCTTCTCAAATGTTTGTTTTATTACCATATTTCCTTTGGGAGTACTTTTTTGTTGTTCTTCTGCATTTCCCCATGCCAACTTCTTCTCTATTTGCTTCTTTGGTTCTTCGCCTTATTTCGATGAATAAACAACGTTCACTTTTCATGCACACATACATATATTTAGCTTACTTTGACCTCTTTCTTCCAGGCTTCTGTTTTTCTAGGTTCAATCTCTACGGCAATGTCAGGAGAGGATCCATTAATAAATGGTGTACCAATTTCTTCATTACGAGTGGTTGATTTGAGAGATGAACTGGACAAACGTGGTCTTTCGAAAATCGGGAACAAATCAGCGCTCACGGAGCGGCTGAAAACCGTGAGTTTCTGCTAGCGATTTTTCTGGATTCCCGTATTTATTTTAGAAAGTTTTGTAACAAAGATACTTAACCTTGAAGGATACACAGAAGGACACTCCAAACTTTCATCTAATATGGGAATTCAATGAGCTTTCGCACTCGCCTCATTTTTAGCACTGGTAGACAATAAAATGGACCATTAAGCTTGTAAGAAATCCTTATCAGTGGCAGTTTTGCTTTTTTTGCTACTATCAATTTTAAAATAAAAGTCCTTCTCACAGATGAAATCGGGATCATTTGAATGCTACTTTTTGCTCTATTTTTTTCTTTTCGACCCATTTTTGAGAGATGGACTGGGGTTTTAACATTTTTTTACCAGTGGTCAATCTGTCTTATAATAAGCTCTTGCGACTATTTACCTCGCTGAACACAAATGTTATCTGTGGGATACGTGCTTCGTCTCTAATGGTTGCTTGCATTGAGTCATTTTAAGCTTCGCTCATACAAACAGTTCTAGTTCATAAGTATTCACGAGTGAAAGGGTTGCATCCTTCATAAAGAACTTCATAGTGAACGGTTTTAGAGTGGATGATTGGTAGTGCATTTGACGACCATTGGTCGAATGCATAACGCCCAGGGTAGGGAAGGAGAGAGCGGCTGCTTTCAGACTCCGACGTCCGTCCGCCCGTCAAACGCGTTGGGGTCGCGTTGCGTGCGTGCGAGGCGGCTCTAGCCATTTGTTGGCACGTGATCCAGTGATCCAGTGTTGTGAACAAGTGGCTAGTTCCGCCGTTGCACGCAGGCAACGCGCCTGACGGACGGACGTCGAACTTTGAAAGCAGCCAGTTACCCCAAAGTAATGTTTGTTTTGCCTTGGGTCAGATAAGTGACGCGGGAGCAGAGATTTTAGGCCTTCAGTAACGTCTGGCCAATGTGAGATTGGTATCAGATGTTCGTTTTTCTCGATTAGGTGAACCGGAACTCGGAGAGAGTGTGGCTCTTTGTCCCGACAAAGCACTCTAACAAAGTGAAAGGGAACTGTACCCCAAGAATAGAAGTAGCAAATGATTGGTATGTTACGAAGTGTACTTGGAGGGTTGTGGAAATCTTTGAACGAGCGTCCAGTTTATCGCGCATCTAACTATGAAGCAACCTCAACAAATGCAAAAATTAGTGCTACCATGCTTGTTTGGAAAGTAGACAAGTGGAGAAGACAGTAGAAAGTGTTCAGAGAAAATAGCCTCCAACAAATAAAATCTGTACTGCAGTTATAATGAATGGATGAAAAGCTCATATTGTTGCTTCTAGTTGTTAAAAGTCATCAAATACCACTTGGCGGAGGAGCTGGACTATGGGGAGAAGTCGCCAGAACTAAACGATCACCAATCCATTCAACAGTACACTGCATATACATACATGCATATCTGCTGTTACACTTCTGCGCCATCCTCGGCTCGGGCACCTTACATCTCGAGTATCCTGCACATACACAACCTTCCTCAATGCATCTGCTCCCAATACTGCAGTTCTCAGTTGGCGATGCTTCACATCTCCTTGTTTTTACTCCTCGTCACTAGCACTCATTTACTTTTGGTATATATTCTTCTCCTCAAATCGGCAATCGAAACATCTCTCTCCTTTGCTTCTATTCCATGCAATGGTATCCATCATCTTGTTCAACTAGATGCTTCTTCTCTAGACGCTGGACTTTTTTTACTGTTGCTGTCATCATACATCCTCAACTGTTCATCTTTCACTTGCTTATGAAAGATTTGAACAGCATAATGAGCATCTAATTCCCGCACCTAGGCGACAAGCGACTCTTCCGTGCGAAAGTTCGCAACCCCTCTTCAAGGCAGAGTTCGACTAAAAAAATGAAGAGCAAAACGACTAGAAGGCACAAGGTTCCAAGTGCTACACTCAGCGGCACTCCATTCAGAGTTCGAGAGCTAAGAATAAAACTGAAAAATAAAATGGGTGAGGACTACAGCACAGCATAGCGTCATGTCGCCCTCACCTACCACGTCAGGGATAACCAGATGTAGAAAGAATAATACGTAATAGGATATGATGTAATATAAAATCGGTCGAAAAACTGCTCATTAGTTGGTGACAAAAGTAATTCCGGTTTCCTTCTTAAATCACACCAGCATTATGATGCAACAAGCTCACGATACCTAGTGTAAATCTAGGAAGAAGCTCATGCTGCTTCTTCATCAACCATCTCCTTCACAGCATCGACTATAGCAATATTAATAAGTTGGTAGCTGGTTGCAGCAGTAGGATAAAACCGGATCAATGCTAGACGAATTCGGCAGCAGAGATCAGAGGAATAAGCGCACAGACGAATAATGCAGTGAATAGCGGAGTAACGGTCTAACCATTGGCGCCCAGCACAATTCTATAGGTGTATCCATCATACGCCTTGGGTAGGGAGACCTCCCTTCAAATGATGGGGAGTGAATGGGGGTCGCGCCTCTATTGCAACTATCTTGACACAGAACAAAAGCGAAAACACCATTTGAACGTTCGCGCCTTTCGCAAACATTTCTTTGGGTGTTTCTCCCCTTCCCTTCCTGGGCGTTAAGCATACGGCCCCAGGTTCGCAATAGTTTTTCCTCACATCGATTTCTGACGTGCTCTATTCTTAGAATAATAACGCATAGGTTTTACTGCAGTTTAGACGTTCAGAGAGGTATTCAATCAATTTCTTTGGAGATGTGACATATCGACAGATCGTCGAAGGGAAGTGTGAAACAGAGAAGGCAAGCGTCGCGTGGCTATTATTGGGTCTTAAATCAATAGTGCTGCATTTCAGGGTAATGGTAAGATGAAATCGTTCCAGACCCATTCTGCGCGCAGCATTAAATCTCACTAAGCTCAACTATTTGTGGTTCTTATTGCGGCATGTTTTTTCAATACCGTTGTTTTTAGTTCATAACTGAAAACGCAGGCGAAAACGGTAATAAGCATGTAGTTGGTGCGAAGTTGTCTTTCAACCGAAGTAAAGATACCGNCAACGAAGAAAAATCCTCTGCAAAACTAGTAAGTTTCGTTTTTTAATCCATCCGATGAAGTCTGTTCCATACCGCATACATGAGCATCTTTTTTGATTTGCATCACTTTTCACATAGCTAATACGTGTTCAGGGCTCACCTGAAAATCCACTTGTTGCCGCCTATCTTGCACGACAAGCAGAGGCATTGGAAGCTCAAAGAAGAGAAGCAGGTACTAGTTTAGTTGTTATGTGTAAGTGATTAAGCTGGCGCAACATTCGTGGTAATGTCGGGCAGAGTCTGGGTTACAACAGCATGCGGACATCTTCTTAGTGGTGCGAGTGCGAGTGCTTGTATGCTTGACTTTGAATCTAGAAGTGATACTTATTATCAAAAGTTTGTTCAATTTGGAGTTGGTCTTCGACAAGATGTTAGGCAAACGTTTCTCCTCATAATCTGCGTTTGCATGCCTCCTTGGAGTAATTCTCCTTTCGTCCTTCCTAAAGTATATTAAAATGCAGCCCACAAAGTCGAGCTGTACATTGAAAGTAAAAATGGTATAATTGTGTGTGAAGACTTCCCTTTTGAATCACATCTGTGCTGGTTAAGAGTCAAAAGAACTGCATGGGATGTGTACATATGTACCAATGATAACAGAAAGAGCTCCGGAATAGAGGAGATTCAAAAATTGCGTTTTATTTTTTTTGCCTACTGAACGAGCAGGAGTGGGCACAACTGCAGTTTATACAATCCTGCGAGCTACTCATACGCCTCGTGAAATGCATTTGAACATACAAGAGGATAGATATTGCAGCTTTAAGCGAAGCATTATGTGCTATCCGATACATTTGAACCTCCCATTCCACCACAGCAATTTCACCAGCGTTAAGTGCGTCAGAGAGATGCATAAACAAGTGCTTGTACAATTATTGCTTGCTAACTTCTTTATTTGTTTGGCATCCTGTTTTTGCGTCTGTACTCGTATAATAGCGTTAGTTGTTCACGGAAATATTCCATCTGTAAGCATGCCCATCTTTCCCCACGCTGCAACTAAAACCTTCATTCCCGGCTTCTGTTCATTTGTGTTGTTTCCTTTATAAGAAATAATTGATGTCACCACGTTCACAATAGTGAAATTTAGCGCGAACATATCCATCATTGAACTCCCTCTGACCCTATCCAAAAAGCTAGATGAAGGTCGATGTAGTTCGCAACATAAAACAATGTCAAAGGGTTCTGATGTAAGGTCGCCCTTGAAATTGATTTCCTTGGTTTATGTGGCATTCACGAAGCCATCGTGTTTTTAAAACTGCTACGAGTTGTTTGTGACGTATGATCCACACTTTTCTTGAATGATCTCTCTTCGTTATTTTAGGGGCTTTCTTATTCAAGCGTTCCCTCTTTTCTCTCTTCTCGCGGCACTTGTTCGCTCCACAATTATCATCTCCCACTTCTGTCTACCTATTTTCGCTCGTTCACATTTCCATTTTTTCAGTGTCGTTTAATGTTTTTACACTGTTTTGCCGTACAGGTTTGTTATGATGAAACTGTTTTATCAGATCGACGTTTCGATCAACTTGTCGTCTTCAAGGGCCTTGTGCGTTTCCACCAGCGTTGCCGTCCCACTCGATTTCGTGAACAACAAGGAACCAGTCGAGATGTTAACGAAATCGAGTGGGATGGCAACGCCGGTGAAACCTCAGGAGGTCCTTGAAGACGACGAGTTGTACAAGACGTCGGCTTAGTAAAACGGTTCCATCATAATAAACCTGTACGACAAAACAGTGAAAAAAAATGTGACATGCCCAGGTTTCGAGAAGATCATTGTCGTTTGTTTTGCCTCCAAAGGGAAAATGTGGACTCACCTACGCACGCCTGAATCATGGAACGTACTAAACAGAGCAGACGCAAACTAAAATGCTGTAAAATCTAGTATTTAGTCAAGGCATCTTGAAAGGCATAATTATGTCCGACCAACTTAAACTATTTTATTCCTCAGATCGGTAGAAAAATGTGCGTTCCTTTGCTCTTTCATGGTAATTACAATTATAGCAAGTAAACCGTAAACAAAAACAACAGATCCAAAATCATGCCCTCTATAATACGATTGATCACGGCTCTCTGCAGTAGGAATTCCCATCGATTATTTCCATGGTGATTCCCCTGATCTTCAGTGTACCGTAATCGCGCGCTTTTTGAATCTGCTGTGCAAAAATGCTGAGTGATGTGACCGGAGTCTCGCGTGCTTTTTTTTTTTTCCTGTTCGGATCCTTTTTTAATCATATCGGCAGTGTCATGCACTCAACTAAATTTGATTATTCCCGATAGCACTTGTATGGGCTATCCATCCACTCGCGCTCGTCACATGCACGGTGCTGACTGCGGTGTCGTAAATTAATCACTTCGAAAGCAGCAAAGTTCATGACGTCTTCAACCACCGGTCACAAACACGGCTCAACGGAGACGGGGTGCTTAGTGAGCAGGACTGCTCGCAAGGGACGCGCAAACGAAAAACGCTGGAGCATTGCCGCTAAGTATAAATGGCATCATTTTTGCCACTAATATTTTAGGCTTGTGAAATCGTTAACTCTCATTCTCTTTCTCATAATATTATTTAAAGAACGGCTCCGAAAGGAAAGTGAAGAGGAAAAACACCCAGAAGAACGAGAGGAAGCTTCATTACAGGATAAGTTCAAACGGGTAAGTCAAAGAAAGAACTTGAATTTAAAGAAGTATGTTCAATAGGTTTCGATCTTATCGAATTCTATTGATTATTGCTGAAAGTCTGTGGAACCTGTGATTAACAGGACTTCTATTGTTACAGAAAGAAGAACCAAATAGAGAAGAAGAAAATAGGGCTTCGGGCGGTATTGAGGATAAGTGCACTGCAGGAATGTGTGACGATATTGAAGGAATGCCAAAGAAGAACGATCCTCGGTCTACGAAAATAAATTCTCCTATGTCTTCGATGGATAAACGGAGCTCGCCAAGTCCAAATCTATCTGTGAAGGAAAGCTGTGCTACCAATTCACCAGCTAAGGAAGGGTCTGTGAGTCCTTCTGTCAAAAGAAAGGCTCATAGTTCGCCTGAGGGTAATAGGGCTGCCACCCCATCCGCGAAGGAAATGTCTTCAAGTTCCACTGAACAAAATAAGGCTCTGGACCAAGATGTTGAGGTTGACGAAATCAATGATGAAGGGAGGTTAGTGATTTGCAGATTCCATTTTTTTTAATTCCACTGTTGAAGACCCTCAACTGATGGTAATCAAGCTTTCACATTTCAGTGAGAGAACAGTCAGCGTTGATGGAGAACCAGAAGAAGAGAAGCAGTCAGAAGGTGAGGATAACACACAGCATTCACACGATAGCGAAGCAGCAAGAGAGACTGAGTCGAAAATGTGGGTGCACTACCTTTACCGCTTTTTTTTTGTTCAGCGGAAAGTGAAAAGAACATTTACTGAACACTTTTCAGTCTCGAAAGGAAAGTGCAGAAATCGGAACGTGCGAAGGTTCAAGGAAGTTTGCCAAAAAATAAAGGTTGGTTGATTTGTCCATTCTCCAAACTATGGGTTTGTCTTTCCCGTGAATGGCAGTTTTTACATGGCGATGTAAACATTGTCAACCTGCATCGTGTCACAAGTTTACATGTTTATTTGTGAGTGGCTTCGTTTCTAGTGGAGAATGCGATGTGTTCAGGCTCAGTTCAAGGCACAGTTCACGATAATTTTGGGTAATCCAGATTGTGACGAAAAATGAAAGATAGGGTGGGAAATAGTGCGATGAAGGCGACGAAAGTCCGCGAATCGGCGTATCCAAAGTGACGAAAGGCTGCGAAAACATCATTAAAAAGGGGGCTAGACGAGTGGACGAGAAGAAGGCCAGAATAATGATGAAGAAGGGGTGTTTGGACGAGCTATACAATGTATGTCGCTGCTACGTGTGGGTCTTGCTGCGAATAGCTGACTACAGTAAGCAAAAGTGTTCTCGGGAATTCATTCACTCATAAGGATAGGTTTAAAAAACACTAGCAGTGGCAAAAAAAGCCCACCTTTTCCGGCCACTTGGGTTAAAAAAATTAAATAAAGGATCGCAGCAGCAGAAAGAATAATAGAGAATAAAAAATATGAGGAAAGCATTGCCTCATTACCCGGCATTCGTCTGATTGTGTGTGGGTCCTAGAGCGAATATTGCACCACTGCATCGCCTCGACACTCGTATGAAGTTATGTCGGTCGAGAGGGTGGGCATCCGGGCCATCCGGTAACGGTGTTCCCACTATGCCCTAGCTGTTGAGTCTTTGGACTTAACAACCTTCTTCTTGTTCCCCTTGAGGTCCACTTGGTATTCCCAGAGGGAGGGCACAGAAACCACTTTTATCGTGAATTGTGCCTTTAACATGAAGTGTAAATTGATTAGTTGTATGACTGAAAGCAATCATTTAGGAGCTCTGGCAAAACCGGTGGAGGAGAATGGAGACAGAGATGACGAATGCGGTGGAGAACATTTAGAGGAATTAGACTACGGAGAAGCTGAAGTTGAAGGTGATGCTGAAGCTGAGGATAAGGAAACGAAGGATGAAGTTCGTGTTCTTTAGTTATAATTACGCTGTGCTTTCAGCCATACCAGCGGATCTTTTACAAATACAGCATTTCGGCGCGAAATCTCTATACCTAGGGAAAGCTTGCATCAATTTATGAAATAAAATCTAATCATTTTCCTGCATCAATCAATACAAGCCCATTCGGTGAGCTTTTCGTTGCTGAATTTCTTTATTTAGCGATGATCCCTTGTCAGCAACTAAAAAAAACAGAAAAGATCAAGGGAGGTGTTGGAGGAAAGCTGAGAAAGAAGTCCAAAACTTAAAGGGAAAACAGGCTTCGTTATAAAGGAAGGGGGTAACACACAGAGAGAAAGGGAGGAAATGAACAAGAAGGTCGCATAAAGGAGACTTGGTAGAGTTTCGTGACTTTTCTTGTGTGTACAAAAAGAAAGTTACATCTGCTGGAAAGGCTTCTCCAAGGTCCTGGTCATTTGTCCAAAACAGGTGGAGAGGCAACAGTACTCGGGCTTGCTGACAGCTTAATCCGAAACGAAGAGATTCATCCTTGGGCGGATAGGTTTTTTTTTTCGTCTTAAAGATTTCTCGAACAGCTGCAAAACATAAAATCAAGACCATAGCATTAAGAACCTGCACCACTCAGCCGAGTTTTTGCTTCGAAGGGATTGTAGGACAACAGTAAAGTGGTAGTTGAATAATGAAGTGAAACATGTATTACCTTGATGTTTTGCCAATTGTTGTTATTTTGCCTCACTACGTGATGCGGAAGTCTCTCAAGAGTGTCGAGTTATGGTCAAAATTCTGGCCTCGGATGGGGTACGAAGAGAAACATGACCGGAAACAATCCAAGTAGTGGCAGCGTAGCTAAAAATGGCTCCTTACAATTTAGCCCCAGATCTAGTTCACTCTTAAGGGGTGCAGGTGGCAGGACGGGAACACTCAACGGCAGGTCGAGCTTCTCAGGGTGGGGCATGCGCGAAAATTAGCTCTTTGAAGTAAGAGCGATAAAATTTGGAAGGGGTGCTGCGGCAGCATGAGAACACTGATGGTAGTTGACAGGACTGGACTCAGTTCACTGGCGGTGGGTCGTGCAAAAAATTGCTTTCTAAAGCTAGAGCGTTCAAATTAAAAACGGATATAGGCGGCAGGACTGGCCTATGACGAAAGCGTGAAATCGGAAACTGGCAATCCTGTCCAAAAGCTTTCCTGGTTATGCGCCGTCAATTCACAACTTGGATCTCGCCAAACATGGGGGGTTCTTGTATGGTAAGATTTCCGCTGCGGGCATATTGGCTGATATACCGGTTTGCTGTTTCTATCGGTTGTGTGATTGACCGACTTTAGTCATTTTAATAATAACAAACTTGAAGAGGTGTTTCGGGAATGTAGCTGTAAATGCAGCCATCCATAATGGCTACCGATTCCTACCAGTTTCGATTTGTACTATTCGGTATGGGTCTGCTACTCACTACTCATTTTTTCAGAGAAGAAAATACTAAAAGCAATAATGGTAGGCCTGTGAATGCGTATAGGTGGGTGTTGGTGAGTGTGTAGTCGGTGTATGTTTGACAGGGCATTCATAGCTCCTGTTCTCCTTCATCTAGAGCGTTAGAAATTTGGCAGGAGTACAGGCGTCTGAAGTCGTAAGAGGAATAAGGGAATGAACCGAGTAACTCGAACACAGAAATTGAGCACGATTCCACTCATGACGGACGAGGCGCTCACGAAGTATGTGTGTGTGTTTAACCAACTTTTATATCCATTTCTCCTGTATCGGCTAATATGAATCAAGCTAATATCGCTATCAACTCAAAAATCTTTGGTCGACTTAGTATCTGGAAAAGATGTACCATTCACTATGTAATCATTTGCAATATGTTTTTCGAAATGCATCACTAAACATTTGCTGAGGCTAAAGGGAATATCCTATAACGAAGCCCATTATTTCATCCAATCTAAGCCCTTGCTGCGCTGATCCACTACTCGTATAATCTTAAACGATTTGTACTTCGATATCATCAGCATGTATTAGCGCATGATCGTTATTACAAAGTTTTGAAAGCTGAGGCAACTCAGTTGCGTAGATGAGAAGAAACCCAGAATTGCTTGACATATTCCGATTTTCCCTACAAGTTTTGAGTGTATCACCCACCACATGCACCTACCCAACAAAAAAAATGCTTGCAGGAAAGTGCATAGTTCCCATGTTGGCCGTTTCCTATGTTTCTCGACCTTTTAATTCAGACTCTATCGCAATTCGGAAATAAGGGTTTAGTCTAAGCTCAGATGTCGCACAATCAATCTCATGTAACAACTCTTTATTTTCTGGCGAAACGTCATATAATCAGATCGTAGTGATGTTTTGAATTAATCGTTGACGCTCACCACTCTCAACTATTTCTGCCTTGAGCAGCTCAAATTAAACTTCGTAGTGATTTGTCGTTCGACAATTAAAGTCAGAGCATAGGCCTAAAGACTTTCAAGTTGAAGCTCTTTCGAAATGTGCGGCGCTCCTCTGTAACAACCCTGCAGCTGAGTTTCTTCAGGTCTTGGAATTGGATGAAGCAGAGGAGCGTGAAATTCGTAAATTAAAGCGACGTCTTATCGCTGAAAAGAAGACACTACACGAACACGGAGGCGAAAAGAAAAGGAAAGTATCGCCGTCAAGGTACTCAGAAAATTCCGATTGGAAGTTTTGATCGCGTTTCTCGCCTGTTCAGAATCTTGATTGATAGCTTCAGGCATCCGGAATCTGACATTGTTCACATTCGAGGCCTTACAAGGCCCTTTACCGATCGAGCGTTGAAAGCGGAAATCACGAAAAGCGGTGGTCAGATAGTTGACTTTTGGATTGACAGCGTCAAAAGTCATTGCATTGTTCAGGTATTTTTTTCGAATAATGAATCGCTTTCACGGATTGCCTCCGCTGAGGGTTCTCTCTCACTGAAGGATCTGTAGCCGCTTGGTAACGAGCCTATGTGGCACGACGCCAGGGCCGGATATGGGAGGCGGAAATCTGATGACCAAAGTCAATGATACATGTTCAGGACGAAGGTGAACTCAGGGAAGGACTCCCTGTTGCTACTCTGTTAGGTCAATTTGTAGCTTCTGTCTTCTGTATAATCGATCTGTGAACGTCGTTGGTTTCATGCATATCGGCGCAGCCAGAAGCTTGCATTCGAGTGACCAATAGTTAGCCCTTTGTCCACTTCGGGAAAGGCTGGCTAGTTACGTAGTTTCCCCAAACCTGAGAGAGCACTCAATACGGCAGCGTTGGATAGGACGTTGGATAGGCTTTTATCTTCTCAGACAGGCTTGGCACCAACTAACAGACCCGGAAGGGATGGAAGGCCTCGTTGGTCTGGGCGTATACCGATTCGGGATTCGAACCCATGACCATGTGAGTGTGATAGTGCGCCACTTGTCAATAGAAAAGTTCAGCCCAAATCTAGCAATATAAATTTCATTTGTGGGCTCAGCATTACTTTCGCTCAGAGCTTCCATGAAGAAGTCCGACCATCTCGTTGGCGGCCGTCCAGGTGTTCGCTCGACGTCCCAAGGGATCCAGTCAGTAACCCCCTGGTCCAACGGCCGACCTATATCGCATAACGTGTTCGGCCCGTCTGACCTTCGATTTCTTAAACAACGGCATCCCTGATCTGCGTTCGATGACGGAGCTCGGGCGTGTGTAGGGAAATTCCAAGCATCATCTTTTCCAAAGCGCGTTGAGTAACTCTGACAGCATGCTCATCCTGCTTTCGTAGAGTCCAAGTCTTACGTCAGAGCAGGAAGGACAGCAGCGTCGAAAAGGTGAGCGCGGAGCCGGATGTTCTTCTTCTTCACTAACCCCTCAACATTCTCGAATGCTTCCCACGCGACGCGTTTCCTTCTGCACATCTTCGGAGCTAGATCGTTCATCATGTTGACTTCCTGACCTAGATACACAGCTAGAGCATTTAGAGATATTCGTTCCGTTTAACCTGAAGGGAGCATCAGGTACCAATCCGTTTTTTATCGTCTTCGTTCAGTCTCAAGCCGATCTCTCCCCAAGCACTATCAAACTCAGCCAGCATTCGTTCTGCCTGCTCGATGTCCGGTGTTATAAGTGCGATGTGGTTTACAAAGCGGGGTCCTCGATGCACGCTTCATGCGTTGAAAGTACAGATTGTCATCTTAGTCCTCCTTTTGGGCAGCCTGTTTTGACACTGACAAGGAAAGTCTTCTAGAGCGTGAGACGTTTTTTGAAAATGGTTTTTTTGCATGGTGTAGGGGCATGAGCACTGAGTGTATAGCTATGGTTCATTTCCGCTAAATGGCCTTCTGAATGCAAAAAAAGGAGTGAAATAGATTTTGCCAGAAATTGCCGTTTTAACCCACTAAGCGTCATTCGTTTCAGTCATGGCGTCGACTGTCCGCACAGTAGAAGGGGCCAGTGGAGGCGACATTGAAAATAATGTGAACGGTAGCCAAAAAAGGGACCCACATGTTGAAAAGTGCGGGGAATTTTCATATAGGGTCTCCACTGTTGAGCTGCCAGAGGCGACGGATGGTGTGGTAGATAGCGATGTGGACTTCGGGGACGGACGACTAGGATGGGTTCATGGTTCGGATTTCTGGGGCTTCGCCGTTTTTGCATTTTATGCTGCCACCTCGAGATTGGCTTCATATTGCACCAGCAAGTGCCTGACTGGTCATGGTCGTGACCAGGCACATAACCTCTACAAGTCGTTAGAATTTGATGTGTGGAGCACTATCAATGGAGGAGCTTCCAGGCTTCAAACTCTCAGGAGTATAAAGGTGCTTCTTAATTTCACACTATATAAGTGTTGTAATGGTGGTCCAAACCCTACAATATGGTACCTATTTTATGGAGCTGTCCCCAACGCAAAGACAACAGGATTCCCGATTCCGACCGTCGTCCACCGTGGGCGTCGAACGCGAGAAAACGAATCAGACTCACCTTCAACTCGTCTTCTTGCTGAAGCATCCATGAGCATTAGGCTTGATATAAAAAGCTGTCAGCCCTGAAGGAAATCATTCTAGCTCCGGATTGCTAGATTAATGACTAGATGAAAGGTTTGGGCGATACCCGTTCCCAACCTACGATCGCCCAACTCCGCGTCCTGCTATGAAGGGCTGGTAGGATACGACCAAGAAGGACATTGCTGAAGTCGAGGGGACTGCAGAAGATACTGATCGTGAGGGAGAAGAAAATGGAGATGACCAACCAGAAGTGGACAAAAACCCTTCAACGGCGCGAGATCAACGCTAGAGTAAAAAACGGTGAAATCATCGAAATTAGATTAGCCTTTCATCAGTTTTGAAGGAATTCGGTCGAAATAAAATAACAATCAAACCATTATGTCCAAATCATTCAAAGAATTGTAGGGTTTGTGCAATGTCCATACAATGTCCAAGGACCAGATGATATGATATCGAATTTTTCGAGTCCCAAAATGATATCATACCAATTCACCAACATTTTACCAACTGAATAAACGCTCGATGTGAGGGATGCAAAAACAGCCGAACTGATGAAAAAACTACGTGAGGAAGTTGGGGGGGGGGGGGGG